AAGATATTTCATATCTATTTGCTACTTAGTTGTTTCATTTCCAGCTTTTGACGAAGCTAAGTTAGCCCGGAACCAAAAATTATGGTCATAATAAACGTTCCGGGTTGCAATAACTGAATGATATTTCATATACCGGTATTTAAGCTACTTAGTTGTTTCTTTTCCAGTTTTTGACGAAGCTAAGTTAGCCCGGAACCAAAAATTATGTTCATAATAAACGTTCCGGGTTGCAATTACTGAAAGATATTTCATATATTTTAGCTATTTAGTTGTTTCTTTTCCAAATTTTGACGAAGCCAAGTTAGCCCGGAACCAAAAATTATGCTCATAATGAACGTTCTGGGTTGCAATTACTGAAAGATATTTCATATATTTTAGCTACTTAGTTGTTTGTTTTCCAGTTTTTGACGAAGCTAAGTTAGCCCGGAACCAAAAAGTATGCCCATAATAAACGTTTCGGGTTGCAATTACTGAAAGATATTTCATATATTTTAGCTACTTAGTTGTTTCTTTTCCATTTTTTTTTACGAAGCTAAGTTAGTCCGGAACCAAAAATTATGCTCATAATAAACGTTCCGGGTTGCAATTACTGAACTACCTATTTCAAGTTACCATCATGTATAGATGTAGAAGGGGCGGGGTGTTAGCTCCCCTTAATTATTTAAAGAATTTAGTTAAAACAATCGAATTAAATTTTGATCCACTTGCATACTCGCTACCTCATTAAAGAAATCATTAATTTACAGTAAATAGTTGATTTTTTAAACGAAAAACATTCTTAATTGTTTTCCTGACACCAGCGTTTCTTAAAATAACCTAAGATATGACATGTCCGCAGTCATCTTAAAGTTAGGACTAAGATTAGGAGGTCTCCTAAAATAGGATAGCTTCGATGGCCTCACTTAAGACTAAGATATGTCGTAAGTTCGTCTTAAGAGATGTTTTAGTCCTAAGATAGCTTCATAAGCATGCCTGCAGGTTTTCATTTTAAATTAAGATTTTACATTCCCATCGAGTTCTAGAGCGGAAATACACGTTTTATCAGAATTAAAGAGAAATGTTTTCTTCTTTTCCAAATAATTATAGTTTTTGAAAGTTCGTAAAAAAAATCTATTATATCTATATATAGGAAAAGTCATTCAAAGATGTCTTTTGAAAAATCAGGTAGGCGATAGAACAAACGTTCGCGGTTGCCTTCCCCACTAAGACTCCTTTGTTTGTTGAACACATTCAACAAATTGTTAATTAAAATATAGAAAATTTCATACCAAGCAGATCAAGTTTTTTGTCTATTGTTCACTGCAGGGGAAGGGGGGGGGGGTGAGCAGACTTCACAATGATATTCATGTAAATAGTAAAATACAGATCTGTGTCTGTAATACATTTCTTCTTCAGTGTTATTTTTACGAATGAATACAAATGTACAAGTCTTGTACTTAAGTGCATAAATAAAAATGATTTGAATTTTATTCAAAAGTTTTTAGCCGTGTCATTGAAACATTTCCAAGTTGATTATGTGCATGTTTTGTTGACATGTAACATTAAAATTCAAAAAAAAAAAACTTCACCTGACGAAGAAAAATAATCAACAAAAGGGAAACACTTTTCCTTCGTATTAATTGCTTAATTAAATTATAAATTCCCTTTTTAGATCCGGCATGCACTCGTTTCCCATTATGTTCTTGTATTTTAATTTATTAATATATTTGGTTTAAAAAAAAGCAACTACATGTATGGGTGTTTAAAAAATTGTAAGGAAATTAATATATTACCTAATAATTAAAGTATTTTATCGTAAATATAATGGTTTATTCCCCGAACGTCTAAAACCTATATAAACATTATAATTATCACACTCAATTAAGAGGCCCTCTAAGGAGCACAGGTAGAGTTTACCTATGTTATCTTGATTTAATATTCTAAATCAAATATATATATTTTTCTGAGAAAGTTATCTTGATTTAATATAATTTTACTCTAAATAGAATATTTATTTTTCTGAGAAAGAATATGTACCAAACCATAATTTATTTGATTAGATTACTATATTTCAAGTGTTTTTTCATATACATTTCATTACAAGTACTATGACACAATGTATGTAAAGTGATGACAAGTTTATTATTTACAAAATTTAATTTTTGAAATACACGAAACACTTTCAGCAATCTTCATTAAAACTACATTTTGGTACTAATTTAATAAGCTTTTCATATCTTATATTAATATGGGAAGCAGAGTTTATATCACTTCAATTCTATACATTTATTAGCACTTTTTTCACATTTATTGCGTTTAATATCTCATCTCATAAGCTCAGATTTTGAGGCTGGGACAGGTGTAAAATGGGCCATCACAGGAGAAGTCTTATCTAAATTTCAAAGTGAACTGATCTAACCAGTCTCAATACCAATTATTCATAATTTATGTTGTTAGTGGAAATTCTTTCATAATTCACAGTACAGTGATTTGTTTTCAATTATTGAATGAAAAATGTATGCTTCTTTGTATGTTTTCATAAATACATAAAATAAAATTAAAAATCTTATGATTTAAGTTTTATCATGGAGACTTAAAACAATTTTGAACATGATAAATTGTTATTACATGAAATATATTCAGAGTAAATGCTTAAAACTTTAGCTAAAACGGACATGAAAATTATTAAGTACCATGAAAAAATAAAAGAATTCAACGGATGTATTGAAATAAAAATAAAATATATCTACTATGTCAAGATCAATTAGCACAATAAAATAAACTTTTTTCTAATGAAGTGAAGGTAGTTTTATACTATAAATTTAAAATAAATACTTTTAAAAAAATTTAGTAGAAAAATATTTTGACATTTGAAAAACATTTTAATTCAATTTATAGGAATTATTGGTAAGATTTTTGATATAGATTGACTAAAATACTTAATAAATACTTTTAATATTTGAGTAAAAAATATCTAAAAATTTGAACAACATTTAATTCATTTTTTAGGAATTGCTAAGATTTTTCCAATATAACTTACAAGTCTTTGAAACAGTCATATAAATGCAGGTATTTCATACAGTTAAAGACACGGGTAACACAGGTAAACCCTACCTGTGCCCCTCAGAGGGCCTCTTAATTGAGTGTGATAATTATACTGTTTATATAGGTTTTAGACGTTCGGGGAACACACCAATATAATTAATCTATCACCAATATCATCTGATCAGGGTGGTCATGTGTACTTACGGCGATTCGCAAGACTGAGCAATTATTCCTATCGATAGAAGCCAAGTGTGTCGTAAAACAGCACGACGGGGGTATATCAATGTAAACAAGTTTCACACCTTCTTTTGTTTACAAAGAATCAAAATAATCAACTGGAATTTCATGGATTAATATAATATCTAAATCAGAGACATCAATAAATATATAATGTCTCTGGTAAAAAGACCGCATATTCTGACTTGAAATGTAAACATATATGTATGTCTTACGATTAAATCCTGCTGTATCATATACGAAGGTATAAAAGTAAGAAGAAAATTAAAATTAACAGCCAATATTAAATATAAATAGAGTTTAATAGGGTGCTTGGTTGCCTGGAACGTTTTTTACGGCCGGAACCAATCTTACGCGGGCCGGAACGTTTATTATTGCCCGGAACCAATATTATGGGTATTTAGCGTTCCGGCCGGAACGCCAAGTTACCCGGAACGTATATTATGCGACACCGGTCGGGGAACCTCCATTACGCTGATTTTGGGGAATTAGCGTCACTGGGTAGACACTCACTGGCAATGAGAGGGCGGGAAGGACCGGATTCTCCCCAAATATAACCGTCTAAATTGTGCATTCACTACACTAATGTATAATACGGAACTCCAATATGCAGCTTTAACAGATTTATTAACAAAGGGGACAGGCTCCGCCATATAGCGGACGAGAGCGCTGTCCAGCGTGGCTGTCTTGGCGAAAGCCAACCGATAACTGAATAAAATGTACAAAACAGCAAATTACATACAATTACATAATATTTACAATAGAGTTATTTATCAATCAATTAAGCAATTATTTGTATCGTCCAGAGATAAATGTTTACTCAAGTCTTTAACTCTGAAGTCCTTGACACCTGTTCAATTTATAATTAATCTGCCCGGAGGCGCTTTGATCTTTGTCCCGGATTTAACACTAATTTCCTTGGTCATATTTAGACAAATACGGGGTGTTTGAATGTCCCTCTCGATATATAGGGAATAATCGCGAGTTTCTGCAACACCTTCTTTAGTCGCCCGACCATCGGCTTAAATGTGACCTATGCATAAGTCTTGATTTCAACATACATGTATTGGTTCATCGATATGCGTGGTTTTAAAAATATCACGTGCAGGGCGGGACAAATAGAGACAGAAGCGGGGCCTGTAGCACGTGAATTTGTGGAATGAAAAGAATGTTCAAGTTCAGTTTATTTCACCCAGACCAACCTACTGGTACATGGGGTATGTGCATGAATAACCTATATATACATTATATACAATATATACAGTCTGGTCAGAGGTACATGACAGAAGATTAAGGGTAAAAAATAAGAGTAGGGAAAACATATCGAGGACAGACAGCAGCATAAAATTTTTGGATAAACATACAAGGTTTTTTTCAGCATTTTTTCGTTTGAAGTTGACATAATTTCCGTGAATAAAAATAACATTCGGCCTGTGAGAATAATAATTGCCCTTTCTTACATTAGCTAAAGTTTTACATTCTAAGATATATAATGAAATTCATCTGCAATTTGAATGGAGTTTTTTTTCTTTTCTTTTCTCTTTTTTTTTTTTTTTTTTTTTTTTTTTTTTTTTGGTGTAATGACAATGATCAATCGATTGGCTTGCGTGATAAATTTATGCATATACAATCAAGAGGGTTTTTTGCACATTCTTGTGATTATACCGGGAAAAAATCATCCATTCCATGTAACTATGTCTTCTTATTTTAGCGAGCAATGTTTATTTCCTAAACAAAAATTGGAAGTGAAATATGGAATATCGTGAAATTAATCGTTGTTTAGACGCTTTTAAATGTATTAAGGTCGGTGAAAAATCAACAGTCGGTAGTTTTGTAACTTTCTGTGATGCATTAACTATCTGGATAAACAAACCTCATGTTGTAAATCGGCGACTTTGTGGTTCAAAAGTTGTGTATCAAGACAGCACGAGAGAGACCGACATTCACAGTTTTGTAGACAGATGTTTATTATCGTCCAGAAACTACCAACCAACACATAAAACTGATGAAGTAGAAGAAGTTCCACCCCTCTCATCTTTGGTGGATATGAAGTTTTATTTTATTATTCGAGAATTTTTCTACAAACAACAGAACCAAATACCAACAAAAGAGGCCATTATAATAGGTTTTGTGAAAAATGCCAGAAATTATACATATTAGATCTCATTTGTGTCTCCTTTGCAAATTATTCAACAAGTTAAAAGAGAACTGTTAACATTAGTTTTTCGACTATTTGGTGACATATGTTGCATATATAATTGTCTTAAATAGATAAATGTCTAAAATGAATCAATATTAAAATCATAATAGAATAAAATTCTCTCTGATGAAATTGATCAGTACAAATATATAGATCCACAGTCACTTTTATATCCTAAATACATGTGAATAAAGGTATTTAATTGTATATGGAACTGTGTCTTCCATGATAATTATTTCCAAGAAAAATGAAGCTTTTATTCTTTGTATGTTCAAAAACTTAATTTAAATCACAGGGACTGGTAACATGCTTATTTCTAATTTTATGTACCGGTAATCATAATATGTACGAAAGGGACTTAATGCTTTTTTTTTAATTGATTATCAGATTTTGGAAATAAAAGTGCAACATTCCTACCAGTTAATCATCACAAGAGAGATAGTGAGGGGGACTGTGATAAAAATGTTGCAGTGCCATATCAGTTGTGCTTTAAACATGAAAGCAATCAAACATGGTATGTGTTTAAGGAAGAGATTATATTTAAAATGGTAATAAAAAGTGATCAGGAAAATAAAATATCAATATATATTCTTTAGTACTTGTATTTAAAGCATTTGTGAGGAAATATGAAGCTTCAACATATTGCAACATAAATTACCTGAAGGATGTATAGTATGCATATTTTGTATTCCTAAATCTTGCAATCTTGCTTCATAGGGTGTAAACATTTAGTACCATTCAGTAAATTCAGTTCTTTAAAATGTAAATTTAATGCATGCATACTGTCTAATCTGGAATATTTCTATAAAACCAGTATATAAGACAAATTTTACTGTATTTCTTGTATTCACTTTGTAAATTACCATGTACAGTAGGTGTTAACTTTTCTATTTTTTTTTCATATTTACAGGATAATCTTAAATACAGACACTAAATTAGCCGAGTCAGAGAATGGGTATATTGACTGGCTAAGAACAACTTTGTTGACAAAACTAGTCAATTGGAGTTCTGAGAAAAATCTCAGAACCTCAGTTACTTCCCTTAGATTGGTCCCTGTCGACAGGTACAACCAACTCTACAACAGTCTCAAGGACAAATATGGCAGGAAGTTTGTCAAGGTTTGAATTTCATACTGAATGATCATTGTATATTTTCAAAGTCATTAATACTAATTAATACACTCAAATAAATAGAAAATACATATAAGTATTCTATGTATGGAAAACATCTCTTAGGAAGTTTACGACATCAACATATAATTTGCATGTGTAAATCAGGTACAATTTGTTTACATGCTTTAATAATTAATTACCTACTTATTTTTCTACAGATATGGCCAGAGAAAACAGATCCACAGAAGTTTGTATATGAAGATGTTGCTATTGCCACTTATTTATTAGTGGGTAAATTTGACCATGTATTAAACATATTTCTTCTAATTTAAAACAAGAGTTGCTTTTCTTTGTAATATTGATGTAAATTCTGTAGATCATATGGGAAATACAAAGGAAGGAGCAAAATCGTGAAGAATTACAGAGTTTTGTGGACTTGGGATGTGGAAATGGATTACTAGTTCATATTCTCCAGTCGGAAGGGGTAAATTGATAGTTTAAAAAAAAAACAAAGCAAAAGCAAGAATGAAGACAAATCATACAAAAAATTGATGAGTAATTCTATATAAGTAACTGTATTTCATACATTTTAAAGCATCCTGGTCTGGGGTTAGATGTAAGGAAAAGAAACATATGGGACCTCTATGGTGATCAAACTAAACTGAAGGTTAGTCATTGTCTGACAAGTTGAAATAAATTAGTGATCAGAATATTAAGTTAACTTTTCAAATAAAATATATACATGTATATATATTAAAATATATGATACGAGCACTTTGTTCACAAAGAATCATTTTGTGTATGATTAAGAATGTTCTATCACTAGAATGATATTGACTTACGGACCTGTGTGATGAAGGCTTTCCCCAGGACAGAGTTACATGTGGATTAGTGTAACTTCTGGGTATTAACTATTCTATCATGAAATTGTATATTTGTATTTTTGACCAGGAAGAGAGTATTACACCATCAGCAGAGAGTACTTTCCCTGATTTTGATTGGCTTATTGGAAATCACAGTGATGAATTAACTCCGTGGATTCCAGTCATAGCTGCAAGGTAAAATTTGAAAAAAGTTAAATTTTAATGTTTTTTGTGATTTTGAAAACTTTTCCCTTAATTTCCCTGTACCAGTGTGCTCTTAGATAGCACCAAGTTATTCTATCTGAGTTTCATTTACCTGTAAAATATAGTGAAGGTGATATCCTTCCTTTGATGTGACTGTATAGTGTAACATAAGGGCTCCTACTTTCAGGTCCTCCTATAGGTGTAGTTATTTTGTCCTGCCCTGCTGTCACTTTGACTTTGATCGTAAGTTCAGCCAGAGGGAGGCTAACGAGAGTAACTACAGATCGTACCTGAACTTTGTGCGTGAGGTCGGGGAGGTGTGCGGCTTCACTGTCATGGAGGATACTCTAAGAATTCCATCCACAAAACGAGTCAGTTTCTCTTGTTACATGTTACTGCCACGTTTATGACAAAAGACAGTTTTTGAACCTCTAAAATATATTTATGTCAAACTAACAATGCATAATTGAAATTTGTTAGCTCTTGAGGGTTATATCCAGTATTAGTCTAGTTTAACCGCTTCCATGGATATTTGACATATTTTCCTATAAGGTTTGAGTAAATAAACATTTTTTCTTTTGATTAAGGTTTGTTTCATTGGTAAAAACAGAAATTATAAGCCTGAAGAAATCAACCTTGTTGATGACAGAATAGCAAACTACATAAAGTTAAGAAGTTCAAGGTCATTGTCATCAGACAGTGATGGCATCCCAGCCAAAAAACAGAAGACAGACGATGCCTGGTCAGTAGGATTTACCCCACGGCCGAGTGAAGAGAAGTCACGTAACTGTAAAACTGTGGCTTCAGAGACTGTGAATCACATTGTGAGGACGGTGTTTGATGTGTTACTAAACAGTCCAGACTGTGAGGAGAGGCAGTTAGAGGGGGGAAGGGTGTGGAGGAAAGGAGGTAGGTTCTTATGGCACACAAGGAAGAATGCATGTAGTAATGATTGAGTGCTTTTACCAGGGTCTCAAACTTTAAGTATTTCCTCTATTTATAGTAAATAAATGATTGCAGATACATCTCCCATTTTTTCCCGATGTTGCATGTGTTTTAGATTTTTAAAAGTGTTTTATCAATATTTTAAACAAGATTCCATCAATTCTTAAGAACTTGCAATTCGGAATCTCCACTATTATAGGCAAGAAGTGTCTTGGTGATGTTGTGAAACTGTTTGATAAGGATGTCCTGAAACAGTTGAAGTCAGAGTGTGGTGGACTACAGACATTGCTTAGGAACCACAATAGTGTATTTAATGGTGAGAAGGGTTTTTGTTTATATCAAATTTTATTATTTTTTGTTTTTGTCTCTTATCTCCAGGTTTTCAGCAGAGTGATTTCTTAATATAAACAGAAAAATATGTATCGGTTGGCTAAACTTGAGTTAATGGACCTTCAAATATTTTTTAAATAGTAGATTCTTTTATAATTTAGGGTGGTGAGATGGAATCGTTGAAATTTGATAGATGGAAGCCTTAGCAGTCTATTTAAATAAAACGTTTTCCTTTTAGGCTACAGTGATGAGATTTGATTGTTGGAATAAATGATAAATGTCTTCAATGTTTATGCATTATCAACACTTCCCTGTTTTGCATTGGTAAACATATCTTCTTAACATTTCCAGTGTCTGGCGGCTCAGTTCAATTGAGGGATCTGACTTTGGATGAACCATACAGCAAACACTCTAAGTTATCAAAGAAGGATAAAAGTCAACATTTTAAAACTGTACAGTGCTGGTTCTATAACAATCACCCTGATGGTTGTCCACTAACAGCAGAGAAATGTCACTTTGCTCATGGAAAACAAGACATGAAAATAATGGAAACAGCCAATAAATAGCATTGTTAAAGATTTACTGTGTCATTTGTTTTACATTTGTTTTACTCATTGCTAGATCATAAATTGTTTTCAACCAAAAAGAATCTAAAACATCAGATTTGATACAACATTGTTCAAACTCTCCACAGTGATTGCATTCACATCAAAATTATTCTCCCTCTTGCTCTCTCTTGAACTTGTAACAAACACATACCCCTCTGTAAAAAAAAAAATAAAATTCAGTCATACTCTAAGTCCAATGAGAATGTTGAAGCACATATTTTTGTGGGGATACAATTTCGTTTGTTTGAAATATTTCATCAGAATTAGGTCCATGGGCATTTAATTTCGTCGTTTTGAAAACTAGTAACCGTATTTTTAAATAGTCATATAAAAATTTCGTGTGGGATATAATTTCGTTGATTGCAAACAACGAAATAAATGAAATTTAATCCCTCACAAACATTTGCTTTTACAGTATGTCATAATTATGCAGTTTACTTATCTTCAGAACTCCGAACTTCTATGAGTGAAATTGAATGAATGTAATAAATATGAGTCCTTTTTCAACCAAAGCTGTTTTATATGTATGAGACATTTGGCAAGAGTTCAGTTTCTATTGGACTAAACCTGCCATGGCCTGGTTCCCCTCAACATCCATTGGACTCTTGTTTTAAACATTTGAACTTTTTTTTTTTTTTTGGAAATCGAGAATATTAAAATGCGGAGTTCTTTTATACAACTTTTTAAATGTTCCACAGGAAGTTTCAGCTCTGTCGGGACAGCACTAGCTTTGTCGATTTGTAAAGACTGTATCTTAGCTTTTTCTCGGAGTTGCAATGGAGAACCATTCTTTAGATACCAAAGTTCGTAGAATTATGTGAAATAATTCATGAATTTAAACGGATCAAATCGGGAACAAATTCGATAAAAAAGAAAGAAAATGGTATGTTAAAAAAGCTTGTAGGAATTTAATAAAGAATTTAATTGAAATCTACGTTGAAACAAGAGATTAAATCGCGTGAAGATGATTTGGAATGCCGCAGAAACATTGCAATTCAATAATAAGCCGAGGCAAATGTTTCCAATATCTGACTTAGCAACGTTCGTTGTGATTAAGTATTTCATCAATTATAATCGTTACATTCTAATCATGCATTTATTTAATAAGACCGACTGGTCCTCCCGAGAAGAATTCCATGTGTGTGACTTCATACAGGTGTCTGTCTACAGTCGATATGAAAACAGCGGATAAAGAGCGCTGGTAACCTGTACAGTTTTCCACTAAATTTTATCTTATTGAAATGAAATAAATCTATTGAAATGAAATAAATCTAACATTAAAAATATCTCATTTCAAGTCTGGTAATGTTTGAAATGCGGATTGAATTGATTTTATTTTGAATGAGACTGAATCCCAGATTTGTCCCTTTATTTATTAATGGGCGTCATAGTTAGGGACCCTAACAACCTTTCAAACAGTTTATGAAATTGTTACAGTAGAAAATGTATGTAAACAAGGATTTAATAAATGAACATTTTAAAAACCATTAAAATATTAAAAAGATTTGTTTGTTCAAGGATGTTTTTCGTGCATTGAAAAAATTTTAAAATGACACTTCTGTATTTTTATTACGTGTAAAAGGATCTTTACATTAATGCAGCGAAAATCATGTCATAAAACATACAGTATTAAAAGAGAGATAAAAAACTCTTTTTAAGATCTTTCGTACCACACACACAAAAATCAAAGCGACAGATTTTATAGAATTTATTTACAAAAATCATATTCATGATTGCACATGAAGAAATAAATCTGAATTAATAATTCAAAACCAATTGAAAGCTGGTGAAAGAAACAGAGTGCATAAAGAAACATTGTTTTGGCCATCGTTTAAAATGTCGAGTAATATTGATATGCATTCATCCGCATTTAAAAGCTCCGATTAAATGTCTTCTCAATTCTCCCCATCCCTGTACCCCACCAGGTCTTAAATTCAATATTGCGTTCTATAAGAAGACCCCTGTGTTCCTTTTCCTCTGTGCTAACGTTCACTTCTTACATTTCAACATTCAATATATCCCACAGCCTGGCGGTGAGTTACATCGCTTGGAAATTCTTTTGTGTGCCGATGGATTGAAAAAGCAATCGGACCATGTTCAGATTATTTTATATGCAATGAGTAATGGTATTTTTACGAAGGAAGAGAAAACCCGCGCACAATACTGGAATCAATAAGCTAAATAAAATCTAAACGGGATATACAGGGGATTCTCGATCTTATATCTTTGATATGGGGTGAAAATCTCAGTATTTACTGAATAGGGTATTTATTTTTTTTTTTTAAATTTCGTATTGGATGTTTTACTTTTATGGAGTAGGAAGTTCCTTTTTCTGGCGGCGTATTCAATAAAAAGCCTGGAGAGGAGTTAGGATTGTTCGTTTTTTACATACAAACGATAAGTTGAATTGTCTAAGATGTTTGCTTTCCCCACTGGAAGAAAAAGTATATAATAGCGATAATCTCGTATATCGTTCATACGGAGGATATTTATTGCCCCCATCAATATCTGGCAATAGATACAAAACTCAAGACTTGATTTAAAAGAGTTGCATTTGATAGCGCGATTGAATTTTCCTGTGATACGGACCATTTGGCGATAGTGGAAATGCAAGACCGTATCACAAAGTAAGGATTGGGGACAATTTAACCGAGTGTTATATGATCTGGGGTGATAATTGATAGACAATTGACTGTGGACATTGTGTAGATGAAAATTAACACCTCCATAAACGGATGTATATTACGGCCATGGGGTAGATAAGGATTTTACTTTGAAAACGACGGTGTGTCATACCAAAAGGAGAGACATGGCGGGGTTACACGGAATCGAAGGTAACTTTAAAAAATAAAGATTCATGTATAACTTTTGATGATTTTTTTTATATATTTTTATTTAACTTTTTAAAACTCTCTCTCTCTCTCTCTCTCTGTCTCTCTCTCTCTCTCTCTCTCTCTGAATTTTGTTTTAAGATGATAAGATTTATAACTATATAGAAAAGTACTCTTCAAAAATTATTAATTGATAACTTAAATAAATTGATATCTATCAATATTTTTATGACAGCCTTGTATCAATAAAAAAAAAGAGGATATAGTTTGTTGCTCTTTAATAAGTGGTAGTTATTTTTAATATTTTATGCTTCGGCTTTACCTTGGAGATGAGAATAGCCCTTAGACAGAATCTAACAATCTTCGATATTGTGATAGTACTCATTGCGCTTCAGTCTCAAATGAATAAAAGCTTGATGAGACGTTTGATGAAAATTGTATATCATTAAATCAGTATTAATCATGATAAGTGAATTTAGCCCGTGGAAACCTTTAACTCTGTTAGCTAAAGAGCGTGGTTCTATATAATATAAAGACCACAGTACAGCAGTTCCCGTGTATTTGTCTAGCAGATTTCCCGGAGGTATAGATTTATAATAAATTAATTTTACGGATAATCGCCATGATACTTATTTAAAATTCAAATGTTTCTCATAGGATTTGTATTGCAAATTTTGTTTAAGAAACCACTGCAATCAACTCAGAAACCTAGAAATAAAGTTCCTCATTATGTGTTTCTATGGAAACATTTGCTACAATTTATTTCTCATGAAACAAAACAAAATCGATAGATTAGTCTTTCAGAGTAAGAGATCAGCTGTTCTTCAGTAGCGTGGGGACCTATAGCAGATTGATAACTGGGAGCTAAATTGTCATGTAAAGAAAAGCTTCTCTGATTTATAATGGCTTATTTATAACTCATCTTTTTGGCTGTAAGATATGTATACAAATGAGTTTTTTCTTCAACATTTAAAAGCATTTTAATCGATTTTCTTTCTTTCTTTTTTCAATTCATATATATTTTTTATAAATAAGTTAACTATTGAAAAAAAATGTGTTGATTCAGGCTCTATATATTTTAGTTGAATATCCATGTTTATGCCTTGGTGAATCAGATTTATTCTGCATTGTCCAACGACTCAGTGTCATCGTCTAAATGTAAAAAAGAAATCTATTCAGTACTGAATAAAATCAATAAATCTAATACCCTTTGATTATGTCAGGATTCCAAAAAGACACATTTTATCAGGTTAGGGAACTTTTCAAAATCTCCAGTCATACTTTTTTAATAATTGAATTATCAATGCAACCGAAGCTCCAATTAAATATTCTTGTGTCCCGAACAAAAGGTTAATCTGAACTTGTAGAATTTTGTCAATAAAAGAGAAATCTTTGCAAGGTGTTATTATTCGTGGAATCAAAAAGGCTGATCACAGAGTAAACATGCTAGACTGATTTTTCTAAGTTTTACATATATTTCACAGAGGATCCACATTTCATAGCACATGTATTCAAATGTGGAACAGGACCCGATTTACATGATTTCATTAAAAGCCTTTAAAGATATTCATAAATGCTCTTCCTGGTAAATTTGTATAAATTTGCCTAATCCCGTTCATCATAATAAATTTATTTTATGACTTGATGACATAATACATGTAAACCATACATCCCGGCTATAAAGACGAGCATGTCACATCACGATTTTATTACTGGGTAAGAGTTATGCTATTTAAATTCATTTAAGTAAAAGCGTCTCAGTTTAAAAAGACATGCATTTATGTAAATAGAACAAGACCAATGCATTTCTTATCAATGATCCAGATATTTAATACAAAAATATTGCAAGACTGTGATGCATTCTTATCGTGGGTGGAGGAACGAATTCGAATCCCTAAATTTAAATTTTTGACAAAAGAACATACTCATTTATGTATCTCCAGGATCCGGGTTCATAAAACTAAAGTGAACTCACTTTTGATCTCAGTCTCACTTTTCAACAATACATTCTTTTTGTAAACGTAAGACGAAGATCAAAATTGAGCTCGTCAAAGCTTTATAGTCCTGGGAATCGTTTTCCCTTCTGTTAAAGTGAGACTGAGATCAAAATTGTGCTCGTCAAAGCTTAATGGTCATAGGCACCGTTTTTCCCTCTGTAAAAGTGAGACCGAGATCAAAATTGAGCTCGTGAAAGCTTTATAGTCCCGGACACTGTTTTTCCTTTTGAAAAAGTGAGATCGAGATCGCTCAAAATTGAGCTCGTCAAAGCTTTATGGTCTCGGACACTGTTTTAAAATTTAACATCACAAAAAACATGCTTACATAACCTCACTCTCCATCCTGCTGACAGATGAGTGTTGTGAAAGCATCCCTTCTTTTGAAGCTACACGAACCCTTTTCATCATTACCCAATAATTAGATTTATATAGTTACTAAATTTAGACATTTTTTAATGGCATGTAAACGTTGTTATTTCAAAAAAATGTTTAAAACCCTATAAGATCTATCTCATAGGGCGTTGCTAGAAAAAAGGAGTTATATTTTTATTTGAAGTTTTTTCCCTCATTTCGTCTAAATTTTAAATGCTACAATTACCCATTTTAAATGCTACAATTACCCTTTTTTAACTGAGTGTATATTAGAACTCGTACATAATAAACTTTTTTGTTTGTTATTTTCAGCCCTTTTTCGGGAACATAAGAGACTGGCATCAAAGCTGACGAAGGAAGAAATGCGGGCCTTACGTAGTTACCTTGACAACCGACTAGTTGCGGAACACAGCGATCTGCTATTTAATATCAAAACTTTGAAGACAAACTTCGACATGAAAACGCTACAAATGGAAGAAACAATAGCAAAACTACAGAAGGAAGTAGAATTGAAAAACGAGTTGATGCAACAGTACAAATCTACTGATACGAATTTAGCAACAGTCCATAAACGCCGAGAGGAAAGATTGGAGAGGGAACAAACTATTCTTCATACAGACATGGAAAGACTGAAAACTGAAATTCTCTCTCTTACTCATGAAATAGAAGTCATTACCCGCGAACGTAATTTATTAGACAAGGAACTCCAAGACGCGCGGATTAATATTTCTGATTTAGAGAGAATTGCGGCGAAGGTGGAGGCTGCTGAGAAATTGATTATCGACAATGAAAAATTGAAACAGGATGTAATTCGGTGTAAAATGAACGTGGACAACAGAGATAGAGAAATCCAAAGGCTTCACATGGTGAATGAAAACTTATCAAAAGAATTCTCTGAAAAGAGCAAGTTGTTAGCTAAGCTCAAGGAAGACTTTGAAAGCTGTCGCACTGAGATAACGCGACAGGCAAAGGAACTGGCTGTAAAATGTGACAGTCTTGCGATTGCTAGACACAATCTGAATATAGAAAAACAAAAGGTGCGTGATCTTGAAAATGAACTGAAAATGCTACAAGAGGAGAAAGAACATAAGCCCGAAAATGGTCGAACAGATTCGTTGGCATTGCGTGTTGAGCTACTGAACATTCACCAAAAGCACTTGGAAGGGAGGGTCCGACTTCTCGAAGAAAAAGTACAAATGTATCGTAATCAAGCGAGAGTGTTGGGTCATGATCTTGCCAAAATTGCACAAGATATCTCAAACCTTTCTCAGCTCAAAGACAAAGTAGTTCTTCATGGTACGACTATTGTCGAAAAGCTACTAATAGAGATAGATGAAAGCCTTCAGAACAGACGGGCAAACATGGAGACCGTAGTTAATGATTTATCAGCTCAGGTGCCTGCTATTATATCTAAAGATGTACTGGCTATCAAACAAGACGTTATGGCAGTCAAAAAGCAAGCAGAAGCTTTCAAAGCTACAGAAATAGCAAACAAATGTTTCCGTCTCGTTCAACGTATTGAGGCCTGTGAGAAAACCCAAATGTTTTTTACACCGCCAAAGGGATCCCTAAACCCTTCTTCGACAAATGGTTTAAAGGACAACAATGACAATATCGTTCTGACATCACCCAGAGCGGAAATGGATAAAACAAGGCGACGATCCGATAGCATGGTGAACGAGGTTTCCAAGTCCCAGCCTTGTTTTGTGAAAAAGAAACCCCCAACTCCCGTGCATCTGCTTCGTTCCCGCATGACTCAGCCACCAACCCCATTCTCTGCCTGGCGCAGACGAAGCTCTGTTTCTTTTGATACTCCTCACAGTGTAACCCCCACATTAATTGACTTAAATCTAACTTCACCCAGAGCCCAGAGTCCAAGGGAAAAATCAAAAACATTCTTCCCCTAGTATTTACCTGATATATATGTCACTCCAAGTTGAAGAAAATAATGTTAACTTTACACAACTATTATAAATACATATATTTGTGAACTCGAACTCTCTCTCTCTCTCTCTCTCTCTCTCTCTCTCTCTCTCTCTCTCTCTCTCTCTCTCTCTCTCTCTCTCTCTCTGAACTCGGAATGATAAGTTTATAAGCTATATAACGAGAATTTCTCTTTTATTGATCATTTGAGGTGGCTCTAGATGTTTACTAATGGAAAGATGTTCTCATTATTCTATTTTTCTATGTACTTTTGGCATTGTTACACAAGATACCAGTACATACTAGTATGATGTCGATTTCATACATCTTTTTAGTTACATGTTTGTAAATGTAATACTTTTAATAATTATATCCGGAAAAGAATGCATAATATTTTGTTATCTGTAAGACTTTATTATTTCATCATTATATTTGTGGTTATTATTGTCTTTCAATGTATATATTCATCAGTTTATCCTATATTTTAAGAAAATTTTCTTAATCTATAGGTGTGTAGAATTTAACAATGAATGGATAAGAATGAGATTTATTCTTTTCTACAGAATATGAATCATAAGTACCTTTAAGGAAAAAATAAAAATGTAAACTTTTCAAGTCTGGTTTGTAATTGTTCATCATCAAATATTAGCTGGATTCTATGATTATGAATCCTGCTTTTTTACTGCTAAGTTTAAAAGCAAAAGACAAGAATTCTAAAAATAAAAAAAATAAAAAAAACTACTTAAAGTTGGACAAAGTCAATGTTACCTTTGATTTAAGTAATATTCTTAATCGGAAATGTGTCATGTTTTGCAATGAGTCATATTTCAAATCCACAACTTGTATTCATTACCAACATTCCATTGTTCCCAAGCATTATTATTTCAAGAGTTTTCTACAGTGCTTACATATCGAATATTGAACCCTTATCCTCCTGTACATGTAAAGGTTCTCCTATTGCCTGCTATCCTAGTCCTGCTGGACACGTTTATACTGGTGACGTGATTCTACTTAACAAGAAAGACATTTTTTTATTACATACATTTAAAGAATCAAATTCAATGAAGCATAGATCTTCCAAATAAGGCGATATCATTTCGACAACTTTATGGATTCTGCTGAATACTGTAAACGTATTATATCAGATGATGGGTCAAATATATAATTATAAAAAGAATCTCAACACTTTTCAGAACGGATGAAAAGTTCAATATGTAATCCCGGTGAGCTTGAGACAAAAGATACCACAGAGTCTGTCACATGTGGTTCATAATAGGATATTTCACTTGAAAAAGACGTTAATGGTAATCTAACAACCAAGTTTCGTGATAAACGTAATGACTAACTTTACAATCGTCAACTTTCCTTACTTATGAAGCAATATACCATCATCACCTGCATACAGAGTTTATATATCTCAGATGAATCGATACGCAAGAGCATGCTCTACTTATGAACAATTCTGAAACGAGGTAAATTATTGAGCAAGTTGATGAAACAAGAATATCATCAGCCTCGTTTAAAGTCACCATTTCGTAAGTTCTATGGTCGATACAATGACCTTGTCAGCAAAAACAATTTACATGTATCATTGAATCAAATGCTGACTGACGTTTTTTTATAGTTATTATTCATTATTTATAAACTGAATTGACGACGAATTTTCAGTTATTTCCCGATCATGACAAGGAGCACACGTCTGGTGTGACCACATAAAGGGGATGCTCATTCCTACATGGCACCTTATCTCACCTCTGATGTTTTGGAGGCCCGTGTTTGCTCTGCTCCTATTTTGTGTTGTTTCATAATTTTTTATCTTGAATACTGTTTGTTATTTCCATATATTATACTTTCATGTAAATTAGTTGAATCTGGTTGGTCGAGAAACATTTGTTAAAAACACTATTACCTGCTGAATAATGAAGCCACGTCCTTCAGCGTAGCAACAGTCAACATTGCTTGACGACCGGTGATATTCCACAAAATAGCGACTGCGCAGAATTTATGCGCGAACGGTTCACTGTAATATGTATTTGTATAAAACATTCAGTATTAATATAATAAATATTGCATGTAGTAGAGTGTAACATTGAAAATTTTCAATCCTCGAAAACAACTGTCAACCTCGTCTGCGCCTCGGTTGACAATGATTTTCTTGGGGTGAAAATTTTCAATGTTACACTCAACTACATGCAATATTTATATAATGTTTCATTGTTGAAATATTATGATAAATGATTAAGGATCAATATAAAAATCACCAAACACTCTCTCTTCAATAATTTAGAAGTGAAACAAAAAAGAAAACACGATTAATATGCATTGATTCCAGCTGACTATGATAACGTAGTATTTGTTTATATAGAGAAGTGATGTTTATTAGATGCTGAGACATAAAAACCCAAGAAATGTCTTTTTAAAAGTAAAATCAAAATTAAACCAAATCTATCACCACAAACGATGCGACTGTTTAACCCTTTGCACAAAGATTTCTCAAGACAAATTGCTATTTGTACTCCGAGGTTGGTACTAAAAGTATGCCTGAGTTTATAATTGACAATCAATCCCCCACCCCATTCGCCCCTTGCAGTATCGATACATGTATTTCGTACTGTAATGGTTAAGGGGCGTTTAAATAAACGCAGAGAAGATCTTGAATAATGAATAATGGAATGACCTGACTACCCTTGGAATAGACCAGTCCAAGGATATATATAAAGCAATGCTTTAGGAAAATCAGGCATTCAAAAGTTGGCAGAAGAAGCCAACAGAGGAATCAGAAGCTAAGAGAAAAGATTAAAGTAGTAAGGCATTCAGAAGGATATGGCCGAAGTAAGAAGACTGAAAGAGAAAGTCACAAAGAGAAGTAAAGGGTAAGAACAAAATAAGCACCAGTGGCAGGTAATCTAGGAAATTGATGGTAAGTTCTGAGTGCAGTAAATCTGCAGAAGACACTCAGTTCTTTCCTATCAAAAGGAACCTAGTGTAGAAACGTGGTGCAGTAGCAATACCCAGTCCACGTCTCTAGATAACAAAAATTTTAAATAAATTGTGATTTTCCCTCAGATAGAGCGGCCGTACAATTATTAGTCCAATCATTAACTCAGACAGAGTAAGACAAAAAGCTTTATACTGTACATATATCCCTTGTAGAACCCAATCATACACGTTACAGTACATGTTCGTTTTGATGTTGACTTGTCGCTTTATTTGAAGAAGTGCGAACGATAGTATTGTTCTCCCGCCTACCTCCAAGTCAATTTTCAAAAGTTAACACATTCGAAGAATTTTTAATATTGTTCTATAGATAAATATGTGGATTTTCATAAAACATTACTTATTCGGGAAATCAAAGAGAGATGACTTTAAGATTTGGGTAAAACTTGTGTTTTTCACTATAGAAATCAACGGAAAACGGAAAATATTTTTAAAACATTTTTCCTTCCCATGTCACAAAAATTCCTTTTTACAGGTAATATGGAATGTTATTTCACAAATTCATACCAAAGCTTTTTGTTTGTACACGGGGGGGGGGGGACATATGTTTTTTGACAAAAAACGATAAAAATGCTAATTTTCCACCAATTTCAAAGCGATTTACAACTGAAACATTATATTTTATTGATATATTTATGTTTTACTTATTTGCCTAACCATATAAAAAGATATAAGGAAATTAAGTCATATCCAAGACTATTTCAAAATATGGTGATGCTTGAAAACTCCGATTTCAATGGAAAATATCGTCTACCCCCCTTTTTTTCAAGAGCTGGAATTATAGATAATATACTGTTTAGCGCTGGTATAAAGACAAATCATCAATTAACATTGAACTGTTCTTTGTATTAAACAAAGATTTTATAGCCAAATTGTTTATTATATTAAATTAAATGGTTCCAAAATGTAGGCGGGAATCGAGAGTTAGCGTGCGTATTTCTTTTTTTGCTTTTGTAAAATCATATGGATTTAAGAAGTCAAACTAAAGACTCCTTTGTATATTGTATAAACTTCATTAAAGTCTGTTGCACTCGTGCATGTTTGCTCATCCTATATAAAGTGTTTTTGAGTTTTATTTTATAAAATAATTTATGTTCGGTTAAACTGGTGAATTTAGTACATAGAGGTGTTTTATTGCAATGACAATGATTGGTCGTCTAAAGAAAATTCTTTGTACTGCATTAGCTTATAATATAATGCCAAATTTTACGTAACATAAAAGACTTTAATATAAAAGAACAAAATGGGTTTCGGGTTTCAATAAGTTCTACAGAACATGCTTTTGTAATGACAGAACTGTATTTACTTGCACATGATTTACCCGATTTTATCACACACGGTGGAAAAACAAGTCTGTAAATATCTCACCAGGGTTGATAAGTAAACATGATATGTAGATAAAATCCACTGATATTTATGTGTGTGTCATTATTTAACATTTCACAATCTTCATTGGGTGTATAGTTGTCAATTTCCGTTTAAACAGAACAAAGACAGTAATTAATTTTCACTTGTCTAATTTTTCCTCAGAACTATACAGATAACTTTTAAAAGATTTCTATAGGGTTAATTAATTAATGTCTAGCTCAGGGAAACATATTTAAGCCATTTTTAAAAAAAAAAAATGCTAGGTTGCTGACTAAAAATGGCCCGACTCAAAACTTTTTCTTTACATTCCAGGACAGCTAGGATATTTTTCTTTTTATTCTTCTAATCCCGACAACACATTTGTTGAAAAATTCTGGGAAAAAAAGATTTTGCCACCTAACTACCGACCCAGTAATTTTAATTTAAGTCGTCAGACTGAAAACAAATATTATTATGAAGATAGCCTTATTCTGAAAAATGTGTATATACACCAAATTTTAAAAGGTTTACCCTAAAATTAATATGATTTTAAAATAATAATTCAAGAAATTTTAAAATGCAAGAACCTTTGTTCTACCTCTTGCGAATAACCACATTCTACCTTATGTGCGAGCTAGAACATATATAGGGTGGATTCTTATCGCCACGGATCAACGTTCACATCAGTGTTTGCATTGAATTCTTTGGAGTTATTGACAAATTGAGAAAATTTTATTTAATCAAGCACATTTTCCATGTAATGTATACAAGAAGAGTAGACAAGAAGACATTATATACATGCATACATACAAAAATTCCCAGGCAGAGGAATTTATTATTTCTTATTGAAAAATCTGCAGCATAACACTGTAACAGTTAGCTCGTAAATTTCTAGTGCTCTACTTTGTTTAATTTACCTGATCTATCTTATTAAACAATTGTGTTAAAATTGCTAGCATCGTATGTATGTAGTGAAAATCCAAGTTTCTTTAAATTCTACCTCAGTCTTGGGTCACAATGATCATAGGGATTCTCCTCTCTATGACGATCATCAAAATTTTATTTTATTAGATAAAAATATAAAAATTGAGAAGCAACCCCTTACTTTAGAATCCATTTTATT